AATCACTATGGATGATAAGTGCTCCTTCCAAGTCAGCTTTTGGTCTAATAGCATGCTCAAGTATTTGGCTACTTGAAGTCAAATGTTGATACCAGCAAGCCAAAGAAGCTCGACGGACGATTCGCAAAGAAAAAGCCTCCATAGCAATCAATATTGGTAAATACCGTCGAAAACTCAAAAAAAAAAACGGAAAAACTATCAATTGTGTGGCAGTGGCAGTAGAGCTTCAATTTTTTTTATATAGACATATATCATATCAAATCACACTTTATTTGTCAGGACATATAAAACAGGTCACAGGTATAATTTTAAAATGTAATCGTTAACATAAAGAAGAGATACATAAAACAAAACAGTTACTTTACTATTTTTTATTTAGGAACGTTTTTGCTCTTCTGAGAGAAAATGTAATTATTTTTCTATTTAGTTTTATTATTTTTTACTTGAAAAATATTCGAAAACGCTTTTTGATTTGTTCTTTATTTTCATAATTTTAAAGTTTAAATGATTTGTTACTTAATTTTTTTATAACAATTTTTTTAGGGTAAAAATTGCTTTATATTTTTAATATAAATTCCACATAAATAACGATTATAATCCCCTACACCACAATTTAGTTAAATTCACGATGTTATATATATATAATTTAATATAACTTGAAAAATATTTCTTAGTTTTAAAAGAGAAATTAATATGTGCTCTAAAAAATAAAATCATTCAAACCATATCCATATAAATTCAACATTTATAATTTTATTTATCTTTTATTTATTTAAACAGTGATGTCGTTCGTTATTGCATTTACTGCATCCACAAGGTAGTAAGTGCTTCTGTTGATGCAATGTTTCCAGCTAGATCTATCATCTCACGTAGTAGCTGGCTTGGCTCTCATTCGCTAAATCCAGACCACTGAGAAATTTGGTAAGTTATCTCACTATCGAGACACCGAAACGAGTTATACGTTCTTTTATTAGTTTATCATACTTGCTTATGGTTGGCGGATTTTTAGCCACATCTACTATAAAATTTTGACATGTCTGACGAAATTCTGTGGGAATGCAACAAACCATCAATTTGGGTAAACCATAGTTCTCGATCAGTTGTCATGAATTGTGGCAGTTTTAGAATCATGAATGCTTCCACCATAGCTGTTGTTGACGAATCAACAAAAAAAACTAACAACTAGGTCATGAGTTAATCGCTCACACCTGTTGCTTAATTTTTTGGTTTGCGAATCAACAAAATAGTATGAATTAGGTCATAAGTTAAGCGCACGCATAGGTTGCTTAGTAAGCAATCTGTGCGAATTAAATAATAAATTAGTTTAAGTAAATATTGTATATCTTGCAATTATTATTGCATTTTAATTTGTATAAAAGACCAATTTATTGTAAATAAAATCAGTTATTGACTTACAATCAATATCTCCGCATTCGTATATTGTTCCCCCCACCAGTGGTAAGGAACATAAAGTTTGTTAGTGAACATCGTTGTTCAGCTGTGGTTGACTCCTTACTACTAACTGCGGTTGTTTATTCTTCACTTAGCTTATTATCATTGTTTTTCTCTTTCTATTTGCGATATTTTGAAATTTGGTTTCATGCTCTATTTCAAAGATGTTTATTTTGTTATTTTCTTATTGCTGTGAACATAATTTAGACACACTAATTTATATTTATATATCATGTCGTGGTCGCCACTTATAAATTTAACATTTATAATTTTATTTATCTTTTATTTATTTGATGCTTTTATTTGAACAATACAAATTTGCGCCTTTGTCAAAACTAAGCAAGTAGCAAGTGAATAACAGCTGACTTCGAACAGTGTTGTCGTTCGTTATTTTTATAAAATAGTGCTGTAAATTGCTACACATTTAATTGCAAGTGTTTAACATTTTTAAAAAAAAGAGTTACGCGCCATCTGCAATTAAAAAATAAATGTAATTCATCATATGTCATTGTGAATATCCTGGATGTTATTGTGAATATAAATAATTGTAATGCAATTTCTTGTGTGCTGACAAAAAACACTGCATTAACAGAACTTTAATAAAATTTTTATAAAAATACACGCTTATTCCGTTGGCATATAAACCTTCAGTAGGTTTGTAAATATTAATATATTTACAAACTGCTCACAATACTCTAAATATAAGAAATTGTATGATATTTCTTTACATGTGTAATCATTCAATCTTCAGTACTGGTGTTCAATATTTCGCTAGTCACAGTTGCATTCGAATTTTAGTTCATCCATCTGTATCTTTAAATGCAGTAAATACAATTAATATTAGGCCTTTTCGGTGGATCGCAAGTATGGCAACAAATACATGCTAACCTATATTGGCTGAGCGAGACATTGGCATCACTGTTACAATCTGTCAAGTGTTATCTTTTGACAAATAGCAAATTTTGCATATGTGCACATGCAAGCAAATTACATTTTGTATAAAAATAAATAATTAATATAAATTGAAAATTATAATGAATACAAAATGAAGACGAATGGTAAAATCTTGGAAATTTCAAAACAAAGCACTGAAGTTTTTTCTTTTCCCCCATTTTTAAATATATGAAATTTTTAAATTTTTTTTGAATTTTTGTTTACATATAGATTTTGACATTTAATTGCAATACTCGTTGGATTTCTGATGAAGGTTCACAATAGTTCGCTTATTGCGTTGGTAACACTTTTTTTTACTGACCGATATGCTTGGTCACTATACCTATACTAGAGAAAAAATATAGGTATAGGTCAGTATAGGCCAGTAACGTGCTGTTTTTTGCCATAATTGCGAGTCACCGAAAAGGTCTATTTTAATTTATGTTTTTACTTCATTTCAACTTTGGAGAACGATCCTGATTTTCTGAGCATACAATTTGCGCAATGAATTTTATAAAAGAAATTTTCACTGCACTAAACATATATATATATTAATATTGCTTGGAGCTTTTATATCGAATCCACCAACAACAAATTAACAAAGCATCTGATCAATACAGTACAAAACATTAGTTCGCTCTAAAAAACCCATCTTCTTACTTAGTTTGAAATACGGCAATAAAAAGTAAAAAATGTCAAATGTCTTTTTACCTAAATATTAATTAAAATAGATGTACCAACCTAATATGTAAACAATATCATCCAGTGAAAAGGAGAGACATACGTTTTTAATAATTATTTGTATATAATTTATTTTTAGTAATTATATATTTAATTATTATTACAAAAAACACACACTTACAAAACAACACCTACGAACATATGAATCACTTTCATGAAATTTAAAATTGTTAAGAATTTTGGTGAGCATCGGAAGAGCAAAGATCGCGGAAAAAATTGAAAAATAATTGCAAAAAATTGTATTTTACTTTACAAACAATTATTAAAAAGTTGAAATATTTTAAAAATTATTTTGTGCTAAAAAATTTTTTAAGTAAGTTTTTATATATTAAAATTAATTTTCTGAATGAATATATTAAAATACAACATTTTAAAAAATTAAATTAAGAATAATTTTAGTTTTAAGAATTAAAATAAGAAATTATGTTTAATTCTAAGAAATATGAAATCTTTATATAATGAAAAAATGAAATAATGAAATAAATAACAATTACTTCAGTTTCAGTTACTATTTTGCACTCTGTACTTGCTCCACTGTTATTCTGTACCAATGCAATAAGCGATCTATTCCGTGCCTTCATTAGGCCTTTTCGGTGGCTCGCAAGTACGGCAAAAAATGCATGTTGGCCTATGTTGGCCACGCGAATCATTGGCATCACTGTTACAATCTGTCAAATGTTTTGTTTTGACAAACAGTAAATCTTGTATATGTGCATATAAATCAAATATATTTTTATGAAAATATTATAAAATTAAAAAGAACACGGAATTAAAATGAATGGTAAGAATATTGGAAATTTAAAAATAAAACACTAAGATAAGTAAATTTTTGAAGGTACTGTCGATGTTGGGAG